AGTACCAACCACACGGGTAAGTAACACGTGTACTCTTTAATACCTACAAGTAACGCACTTGCTCTTAGTACCAATAAGGCGGGTATGTAAGGCACTTATTCCTAGTACCATCCATACATGTAACGCACTTGTCTGAGTATTATTAACCCCCAAGTAAGTAATGCACTTACTACCAACCATATGGATAAGTAACGCACGTACTTTTAATACCAACCATACGCATAAGCAACGACACTGACTCTTAGTACCAACCATACGGGAAAATAACGCACTTGGTCTTAGTACCAACAATTCGAGTAAGTAAATTACTTATCCTTAGTACCAACCATACGGGGAAATAACGCATTCCTAGAACCAACCATACGGGTAAGTAACGCATTTACTCTTAAATATAAACCACACGGGTAAGTAAAGCACTTACCATTAGTATTAACCATACGGATAAGTAACGCATATATTCCTAGTACCAACCATACATGTAAGTAACGCACTTGTCTCAGTATTAACCTCCGGGTAAGTAATGCACTTACTCTTGGTACCAACCATACGGGTAAGTAACGCACATACTTTTAGTACCAACCATACGAATTAATAACACACTTCTTCTTAGCACCAACCATACGGGTAACTACCATACTTTCTCTTAGTACCAACCATATGGATAAGTAACGTGCTTAGTCCTAGTACCAACGATACGAGTGAGTAATGCATTTCCACTTAGTACCAACCATAGAGGTAAGTAACTCGCTTACTCCTAGTACCAACCATATAGGTAAGTAACGCATGTATTCTTTAATTCTTACCACACGGGTAAGTAACACACTTACACTTACTACCAACCATACAAGTAAGTAACTTACTCTTAGTACCAACCATATGGGTAAGTAATGTGCTTACTCATAGTACCAACCATACGGGTAAGTATCGCGCTTACTCTTCTTACCAACCATACATCTAAGTAGCGCACGTACTCTTAGTGCCAACTGTACAGGTAAGTAACACATATACTCTTTGTACCGACCATATTGGGAAATAACGCACTTACTCCTAGTACCAACCATATGGGTAAGTAACGCATTTACTCTTTAATATTGACCACACAGGTAAGTTACGCACTTACCCTTAGTGCTAACCATACGGGTAAGTAATGCACTTACTCTTAATACCAACCATATGGGTAAGTAACGTACATAGAACCAACCATACGGGAAAACAACGCACCCTTTTTTTGAGTACCAACCATACAGGTAAATAACGCACCTACTCTTAGTACCAATTATATGGGTAAGTAACAGACTTAGTCTGAGTACCAACCTTACGGGTAAGTAACGTGCTCACTCTTAGTACCAAAGATGCGCGTTAGTAACGTACTTGCTCTTAGTACCAACCATACGGGTAAATACTTGCTCTTACTCCTGGTACCAACCATACGGGTAAGTGACGCATTTACTCTTTAGTACTAACCACACGTGCAAGAATGCACTTACTCTTAGTACCAACCATACGGGTAACTAATGCATTTACTCTTTAGTACTAACCACATGGATAAGGAGCGCACTTACTCTTAGTACCAACCATGTTTACTCTTAGTACTAACCATACGAGAAATTAATGCACTTACTCCTAGTACTTACCATACAGGTAAATAACGTACTCACTTTTAGTACCAACCATACAGGTAAGTAACGCACTGACTCTCAGTACCAACCATACGGGTAAGTTACGCACTTACTCTTAGTAATAACTATACGGATGAGTAATGCACTTACTGTTTGTACCAACCATAAGGGTAAGTAGCGCACTTATTCTTAGTACTTACCACACTGGTAAGTAACACATTTACTCTTAGTACCAACCATATGAAAAAGTAACACACTTATTCTTAGTACCAGCCAAATATGTAAGTAATGCACCTTACTCCTAGTACTAACCATACAGGTAAATAACACTCTTATTCTTAGTACCAACCATACGAGTAATGAACGCACTTACTTTAAGTACCAATGATACGAGTAATTTAAGCACTTACTCTTTGTACCAACCATACGGGTATGTAATGCACTTACTCTTGTACTAACCACGCAGATAAGTAACGCACTTTCTAGTTGTACCAACCATACGGGTAAGTAACGCACATACTCTTCGTACCAGCCATACCGGTAACGTACTTACTCTTCTTACCAATCATACGGGTAAGTTACGCACTTAACTCTTAGTATTAATCATACAGCGGGAAGAGGAGAGGCGGAGCTTTTACTGTCAGATAGCTATCTGGACCAGAAGGAAGGAACTAGGGAGTGCCAGGCAGTGGGGGGTTCTTGTAGAGATAACTACTACAACAGGAGCTAGACTACGGGGTAGGCACGGGGTAGGAGTGATCGTAGCGTTCCTTAGTCGTTTCCTTGTTTTCATACTACTTGCGCATTCACGGAAAATTTTGGCAAGAGTTTTACTAGCAAGATTGACAACAATGGTTCAAGAATATCAACAACATTGGCAGTGTTGACTACATCAGAGCTAGCAAGCATGCAGGTCAACTGCCAGCGCAGCATGGTCAACCGCGTTCCAGCACGACATGGTCGACCGCGCTCCAGCAGAGCAAAGGCGCGGCTGCCAACGCTGCAAGTCGTAGGTGCTCGCAGTTGATTAGCGTGATGTGCATCGTCACCTGCACAGTGCAGAGACCAAAACGTCCACGTGCTGATGGCTGCACTTGATCAGCCACGTCGATCTCGGGATACCACCACCGAGGTCGGCTTCACCAAAACTACGTGGGCGACTGTCGCGCTCCTCCGCAGAACCCTGTCGCCCGGCAACCTGATTGACCGGGCAACTACGCCGACCAGGCACTCCTCCTCATGCCCGACGACCACCTCCGGTCGACCACACAAAGTCGAACACGCCCATGGTCGACTAACTCCAGGTCGACCAGCACAGCTGACAGCCGACCACACCAAGTCGGCTATCCCAAGTCGGCGTCACCATGTCGACGCCCTCCTCAGGTCGACCTACCAAGTCGACCTCTCACCAAGGTCGGCGCCCTCCCAGGTCGGCGCCCCTCCCAGGTCGACGTCTCCCCTCGTCGACCACCAGGTTGAAGTCGGCCATCGGCTTCCTGAAGTCGGCCGCTCACTGGCCCGGCGCAGGTCGACCAACTCGTCGTCCAGACGCCCAAGTCGGCATCACCCACAGCTGCCGGTCGGCTGCACCTCCCGCACACCCGACCACAAAGTTGGCTCCGCCCAAGCGAGGACGGGGCCAACTCCCAACTCCCGTTACAGCAGTTGCAGCAGCAGAAGGGATATGGGGAACAAAAGGAGTAGTAGGAGCACCTGTTGTGGCGGTTGTAGCGGCTGCAGGGGCTGCAACAGTTGCAGTGGCTATGGCGGCTGTAGTGCCCATATCCAGTAGCTGATGGTTTAAGCAAAGAACGTGATCCAACACGAAGTGCTTCAAACGGTGCCGCTGCTGCAACAGCAGCCTTGGCACACTCGGAAGCGATTTGCATCCCTTCATTATTGGGTAAGCGACTCTGTTGGGACGTTCTAGGTTGCTGTAGTTGAATTTAGAACTGTCGATGCCCTTAGGATTGTCGTGAACAGTACTTTGCTGTTGTTGTTGCTGTTGCTTCCGCTGACATTGCGGCAAACGCTTCTGTGCGGAGGATTTGACTTCTGAGCGCAGAGAGAGACGAAAAACGCGGAGGGAATGGAGCTTTGAATGAGACAAGCTAGGCGAAGCCATCACTTGCAGACAAGGGAGAGACGTAACGGGGGAGATTCGTCGACGGAAGCTAGATGGACGACGGAGCACAGAAGGTCATCTGAGAAGCAGTCGACTAACGGGGACACTGCGTCAGGAGATGCCAGCAAGTAGTCAGGCACACAGTTGGAAACAACGATCAAGGATTCGTCCAACGAAGTGTCAGAACAACGCGGCACTTCGAATTTGAAATGATGGCCGAGTGCGGGAGCTACTAAGCTAAGGCGGATGCGAAATGGGCAGGAGGGAGGTAACTAAAGTGTTTATGTGAGGAGACTAGCTAATAGTAGCTAACATAGGTGGTGATTGGATGGGGAAGGTGTGCTTAGAGCAGACCGCGTTAGGTGTTCACAGGAATTTGGAATCGCGTGTCACAAGAATCATTTGGAACTGGAGGGGTGTCTGTCAAATGTTCTAAACACGTCAGAAACGGATCTTTGCTCCACCGCGCCTCAGTCACAAACTCCACCTTCATTTTTGGAATGCGCTCTGAGTGTGGAAAGACAACCCGTTTATAAACAATCGTGGATTGCGCTATATAAACAAGGTGAGCACAATTGACAGCAGTATTAAACAACCATAGGATGCAATTGAACAAAAGAATTCACCTGCTTTTGATACTCCCAAATTATGTATACAATAAGGAACTTCACCACGATTACACTTTAGTTAGCAAGCGGAGACCGCTGAAAGAGAAGGGAATATGGTAGAGAGCAAGGGGGAGCAGCGGCATCTTGGAGTTCAAAAGTAGCTACACCATTGGCAGCACCATTGCTGCTAATTGCACCATTAGACGAGCCGCTGCTAATGGAAGCACTGGATGGACTCCCGGGGCAGAAGCACAGGCAAAACTGATCGGTGTCCATTGGGACGGCATATGGGAGAGGGTAGTCTGGCAAGATGCCCACCTGAATGAGGGGTAAGTAGGGTACAACGGAAGCCCACAAAAAAAATCGTATAACGCGGCTGCCTTCGCACCTTGCTGCGCCTCCCCTCGCAACCTTTCTCGTTGTCATCCGCTATCTTCTCCCACTACCATTCCTCTCCCATCTCACATACTGATCACCTCCCCAAGTCACTTTTGGCAGGCCCGCCCGATCACGTTTAGCAGGCCCGCCATCTAACCGCCCGAGTTTCGAGAGTCTCTAATCGTCGCGCGCAATTTCAGTTTTGCTGCGCCCGTCTTCTCATACTCCCCGCCCTCTCCCTTTTCACGACAATTGCCCTCAATTTCTCAGACCCTCCACTCAGTTTCTCGCTAATTTCCCCCCCTTCTTCCCCTCATTTCCGCCCCTTCTTTTCTTAATTTCCTCCCCTCCTTCCCCTCGTTTTTTCCCATCCTTTCCCCCATTTCCTCCCATCCCTTCCCTCATTTCTCCCCCTACTTCTCCTCATTCCTCCCCCTGCTTCCACCCATTTCCGCCCCTGCTTCCTCTCGTTTCCTGCCCTCCTTTCCTTCCCCTCCTTTCCCCCGTTTGTTCCCATCCTTTCCCTCGTTTCTCCCCGCTCCTTCCCCTCGTTACATATTCCCCTACTTTCCCTCATTTCCCCCCCTGCTTTCCCTCACTTCCCCCCCTGCTTTCCCTCACTTCCCCCCCCTGTTCTCCTCATTTCCGCCCCTCCTGCCAATCATTTCTCCCCCTACTTCCCCTCATTATCCGCCCTCCTTCCCGTCATTCCTTGGTCTCTAACATTTCCCCCACTCCGTCCCCTCATTTCCCCCCATCCTTCCCCTCATTTCCCTCCCTCTTTCCCCTCACTCCCTGGTTCCCCTCATTTCCCCCTCTCCTCATCTTCATTTCCGCCGCTCCTTTCCCTCATTTCCCGCCCACCTCCCCCGCATTTCACCCCCTCCCCCCCATTTCCCGCCCTCCTTCCCCTCATTCCCTGGCTTCCCTCATTTCCCCCAATCCTTCCCGTCATTTCCCCCACTACTTCCCGTCATTTCCCCCCCTCCTTCCCGTCATTTCCCCCACTCCTTCCCGTAATTCCCCCCACTCATTTCTCTCATTTCCCCCACTCCTTCCCATCATTTCCCCCCCTCTCTCTCATTTCCCCTCCTCCTTCCCGTCATATCCCCCACTCCTTCCTGTCATTTCCCCCACTCGTCCCCGTCATTTCCCCCCCTCCTTCCCGTCATTTCCCCCACTCCTTCCCGTAATTTCCCCCACTCATTCCCCTCATTCCCCCCACTCCTTTGCGGAGTTAACTCTATCAACGGGAGCTAGACTACGGGCTAGGCACGGGGTAGGAGGGATCTCTGCGTTCGCTCGTTCCTTAGTTGTTTCCAAGTGTTCACGCTACTTGCTAGTTCACGGGGATAATTGGCAAGAGTTCCACTAGGAAAAGTTGAGAACAACAGTGGCAACAACATTGGCATGCAAGACTACATCAGACCTAGCAAAGGTGCTGGTCGACCTCCAGCACAGCACGGTCGACCGCATGCCAACACGACTTGGTCGACCGCATTCCAGCAGCGCAAAGTCGCGGCTTGCCAACATTACAAGTCCACGGTGTGCCAACGCTGCAGCAAGTCGGCTGTACAGCGTTGTACCCGCGGAACAACGGTGCAGCTGCTTCGCAGGTGCGTGCAGCTGGTTCGTGCTCCACGCCTTGTGACGAGCACCGCGCAGACGCCTAGCAGACTCCACGCCAGCGACTGCGCCCACCAGCCATGTCGACCTCGAGATACCACCCCCGAGGTCGGCCTTGCAGAATTCACCCCGACGACCTTCGCACATGTCACCCGGGAATCCCGGTCGACCGGGCAACCACACCTGGTCGACCAGCCTTGTCGGTCGCCGGCCTCCACCCCGGCGCCCACCACCCCGGCGCCCTGCTGCTCGACGCCCAGCTGCTCCGCGTCCTGCTCCTCGACGCCCTCCAGCTCCAAGTCCCTATTCTCCCCTGTCAAGGTTGACGTCGGCCCCTCCTTCGTCGACCACCAGGTTTGGTCGGCCTCCTGGTCGACCACCCCGAAATAGGCGCCCAGAAATCGGCGCCCGTCACAGTGGCCCCTCGTGCAGGTCAACCTTCTCTTCGACCAGCTCTTCCACTGCTGTAGGTCGGCTGCATTCCCCCGTACACCCGATCACGAGGTCGGCTCCACCCAACTCCCGTTGACAATCCCCTGCCACGTTCACGCTTGGGCCCCCAGCCCACACGGCAGCACTTCTCTGAGAATAGCACGTTGGCGTGCACCCAACACACAGCACGCCGGTCACCGCACCAGCCATGCAAGAGGGCATGGCACCTACTGCTGCACGCTGTCGTCGCCGTCGCCCACGTCGGCCAGACACACTTGGCCGATTGCAACGGAGCACCGGTTGAAGGCCGGGTAGTGCAGCGCCTTCGTCAGGAAGTCGATCGGCTTCTCAGCGGTCGGGATGCACTTCAGCTTAGACTTCCCACGCTTCACCATGTGCTGCAGCCAGGCCTGTCGCCGCTCCATATGCTTGAGGTTGCCCGTCAACCCCATGCCTTCGGCGATCGTGATGGCCGACTTGTTGTCCACCCGAAGGACGGTCGGCTTCCCAGCATCCAGCTGCCGGAACTCTACAAGGAGGAAGCAAAAGCGGCGTCCCTCCTTGCCGGCTTCATTGGTCGCCACGTACTCCGACTCGCTCGACGACAGTGTTGCGCACTCGATGCGCTGGCTCGACCAGGAAACCGCTGTTTCTCCGTAGACGAACACGTAGCCTCCCATGCCCGTCCTCTTCTGCTTGTCGCCGGCGTCATCGGCGTCCACGTAGCCGACCAGCTCCAGTGACTCTGGCCCACTGCCGAACTCCAGGGCAGTGTCACGGGTGTTGGCGAGGTAGGCGAGGCAGCGGTCGACCTCACGCCAGTGCTGGTCGCTCCTCACCGTGAGGCCGCTCCCCAGCTTGCTGCAGGCGAAGGCGATGTTCAGCCTCGGTGTCATTGGCGCGAACTGCAGCGAGCCGACCTTCTGCCGATACTCCTCCTCCTGGCACTCGTGTGCATCCTCGTCATCGAAGGTGAGCTCGGCGTAGGCATCGACCGAGACCGGCGTCTTCAAGGTGCGCCCAGTCTGCTCCTCGTCGATGAACCGCCTACGCAGCTTGTCGGCGTAGCCCTGCTGGTGCAGCGACAGCTTCCTCGCCGGCCTGTCGCGCACGATCTCCAGCCCGCGGTACTTCTGCACCGGCGAGATCTGGCGCAGCTCGAAGGCGGCCTCCAGCAGCTCCTTCAGCTCCTTCAGCATCTCGGCACTATTGCTGGCGGCGAGCAGGTCGTCGACGTAGACCAGCACCCAGCAGGCCACCTTGTCGTCGTCGACCTTGAAGTAGAGCGCCGTGTCGACCTGGCTCTTCTTCCAGCCGGAGCCGACCAGCACGTCATTGAGAGCCTTGTAGCACAGCAGTGGCGACTGCTTCAGCCCGTAGAGGCTCTTCAGCAGCTTGCACACCCGGCCGGTCCCGTCATTGATGTAGTCCGGCTTGTACATGTATAGCACCTGGTCGAGCTTGCTCTGCAGGAAGGCGTTCTTCATGTCGAGCTGCATCAGGTTGAGGTTGAGGACGGTGACGATGCTGAGGAAAATCCTCAGCGTGACGTAGCTGCTCACCGGGGCGCGTACATTTTGTCGTAGTCGACGCCATACACCTTCACGACCAGTCGTGCCTTCTCGCGCTCGACGGTGTCGTCGATGTGGTACTTCGTCGTCAACACCCACCGGTTCTTCATGATGTTCACCCCCGGCGGGCGTTCGACCAGCTCCCATGTCCCCATGCCGATGAGGCTGCGGATCTCCTCTTGCATGGCGGCCTTTACCGCCTGGCCCTTCCTGATCGCCAGCGCCTCCTTCACCGTCAGCATGGCGGCCTCCGGATTCGGCTTGACTACCGTGGTCCAGTCTGGACCTCCACCACATCGCTGTCGGTGGAATCCTCGGCGTCCCCTTAATCGTCACGAGCGTCACTTCCCTCAGCGTCCTGCTGCACCTCAATCGGCTTCCTCGCCGATTTCTCCCCTGCAGTCGGCTCCTCTGCCGACTGCTCCACGGTCGGCTTCGCTGCTGCCTGCTCCCCTGTCAGCTGCTGCCCTGCTGGTGCCTTCTTCGCCGGCTTCACCAAAGTCGGCTTCACCTCCTCGGGCTGTTCCTCCCCTATCGACGTCGACTGTACTCCCACGTTGACTTGCTGCTCGTCACATCGGCCACCGGCGATGCTAATGGACGGCGCCGTGGGCGACGTCCCACTTCTCCTTTCATCGCCGGAGGCCGACACCGGAGTCAGCCCACGCAGGTCGGCCACGAGGGGAGGGGCAGGAGGGGCAGGGAAGGGGGAGGGAAAGGAGACATCCTCGACGTCTTCAACAGCAGGCTCACCGACCTCGGCGAGCAAAGGAAGCGTCGCCGTCGAGGTGTCCGTCGGCGGGGTGGTCGGCATCCTTTCCGACACCGACCCGTGCTCCGACTTCTACACCTACAGCGACAATTTCTCGTAGAACACCATGTCTGACGTGGTGACCACCAAGTTGTCGGTGATGTCGAGGAGCTCCCAGCCTTTGCTCTCCTCTGAAACGCCGAGGTGAAGGCCCCACCGTGCCTTCGGCTGCAGTTTCCCACCACGCTGCTGCTCGGGGACCAGGAACTGCGCCATGCAGCACCACACGCATACCAGCGACAAGTTGGGCTTCTTCCCGGTGAGCAGCGGGTACGGCGTCGTCCCCGGCTGCAGAATCGACCGCTCCAGGCAGTTGCGGACCCAGACGGCCTGCCGCAGAGCGAGGTGCCACCAGTGGTGCTGCACGCCCATATGCAGCAACATCGTCCGCACCAACTCTTCCACCTTCCCCATCTCCCGCTCCGCCATTCCGTTCTGCTGCGGGGTGTACGGGAAGGTAAGTTCGTGGACGATCCCCTTGCTGTCCACGAAGGCGGTGAACTTTTTCCCGAGAAACTCCCCTCCTCGGTCAGAGCGCAGCATCAGGACGGACTTCTTTGTTTGCCGCTCAGCGACCACCAGCCACTGCTCGAACTCCTGTAGGACGTCCGACTTCTTGGCGACCGGCCTCATCCACAAGTAGTAGGTTTTGTGGTCCTTCAACAGCAAGAAGTACATGCTGCCATCCTTGGCAGCCACGCGAAACGAAGTAGTAGGTTTTGTGGTCCTTCAACAGCAAGAAGTACATGCTGCCATCCTTGGCAGCCACGCGAAACGGCCCGCACAGGTTGAGGTGCACAACGACCAGCACGTCGTTGGCGTCAAAGCCTTGCTCAAAAAGGTGTGCCGCGCCGGCTTCCCGCCGACGCACGAGATACACGGTGTGTCGGCGCCAGACGTGGAGTTGAGGTCCAGCCCAGTGGCGACCTCGTGCTTCGCTAAGCTCCGTATGGTGTCCATGCCGACGTGCGCAAGCCTCGCATGCAGCCTGTCTGGCGTCGACTTCGTCACCGAGACGATCGCCCGCAGTGCCACGACCTCCGTCGTGGGCGTTGTCGACTTCGCCGAGCAGGGACGCAGGTCGGTGTAGAGGACTCGCTCGGTGTACGTCGCCCGGCCGAGCACCTATTCCGTCGCTGAGACGAGCAACATCCCGTTGCCGCCCTCCTTCAACTTTACGCCGTTCTCTTTCAGCTGGCCGGCCGAAAGCAGGTTCGCGCGCACGCCCGGGACGTATAGCATGTCAAGGATGAGCACCTGCTTCCCGGCCTCCCCTTGCAGAGCGACAGTTCCACGGCCATGGACGTCCTACAGCGCCCCATTGAAGCCGCGCACGTGCTTGACGTTGCCGCTCAGCTGCAGGTCGACGAAGACCTCCTTTGTCCCCATCAAGTGGTGGGAGCAGCCGCTGTCGAGCAGGACCACCAATGGGTTCGCCTGCACAGCCGCCGCCATCACCTAGAAGTCCTCACCGGCCTCCGGCGCCAACGAGACGGTCGGCTCCACGATGCCGACCAGTGAGCACGATGCCTCCTTCTCGTCTTGCCCCTTGCCGCCAGCAGAGGATTCGGCGTCCTTCGCTGAGGTCGACTTGGTCGACAGCTTCTCCGTACGCGGCTTGTTTCCTCCTCGACGGGGACGGCGGCTGCCAGGCCTCCCGCCTCCTCCCTTTGCGTCATCGTCGTCGGAATCGCTGCGGTCGGGGCACTCGAAGGAGAGGTGGTCGGGGTCGCCGCACAGCCAGCACTCTCGACGCCGGCTTCCTCCTCCACGACCGCTATCCTAGGCCGAATTCTTCTTGTCGGCGTCCTGGGTCGGCTTCCAGCCACTGCTACCACCGCCGCCAGACTGCCCGCACTGCCCCGGTCGACCACCTTGCTTCACCGGGGCGACGTAGTTCACCTGCGCCAGGAGCT